TGATATCAGGGCAACAATGGACTGTGGCAGGAAGAAAGAGAACAGGCCTGCAGAACACCACATATTGATAGAGGGTCAATGCACCAGGGCGACCTATCTACACATGCGCACAACAAAAGACAGAGCCGCAAACTTCTGAAGGAAACCATAATATACCATTTTACACTGAGCAGCAAATGTGAGCACTGCCAGCCAAGCACACTCAACACTTTACCCTAAACAGCTGTAGACACACTCTTCTCAAGCATGACAGACCACAGTAAGCCACAGAGCGAACTTCAGTAAGGTTAAAAAGAGTGAAATCATAGGAAATACCTTCTCTAGCCACAACGGACACTAGCCCTCAAGGACAGAAGGAGGGCTGGTGAGATGGCTCAGCTGGTAAGGAAGGTGCTTGCCACCCAGCCTCCTGACCTGAATTCAATCCTGGAACACATGGTGGAAGGAGAGAACTGACTCCCACAAGTTGTCCTCTGACCGATGTACTCATGATATGGTGCATGCATACACGTACACACGCAACATTTCAGGCTAGAGTGCCACTTCAGTGGCTAGAATGCTTGCCAAACAATCTTGAGGAACTGAGTTCAGGTCCCACATAAGCCAGGCAAGACTAGCTGAACCTGTAACATCAGTGTGGGGACAGGGGTCACGAGGATCCCAGGGACTTGCTGCTCAGCCAGTCTAGCCCAAAAGTTGGGTCCTGGGTTCAGTGAGTTAGCCTGCCTTAAAAAGTCAGGTGGAAAAACAATTGAGGCCCCACACCCACACACATAGGCAAGCACACATAGGCGTAGCACACGAGAAAGATGACCTCACTGGGTACAGTAACTCGTTCATGCAACCCAGGTGCCTGGGAGGTTGAGGCAGGAAGACTACTGTCAGCTCCCAGCCAGCCTAGCTATAGGATAAGACAGCTCAGAAAGGAAAGAGAGAGAGGAGAGAGAGAGAGAGAGAGAGAGAGAGAGAGAGAGAGAGAGAAAGAAAGAAAGAAAGAAAGAAAGAAAGAAAGAAAGAAAGAAAGAAAGAAA